TCGTCGGATTCCAGTATAACATTCAGGTGTCTCAGGTAACCATGGCTCCCCCAGCCTCAATCCACTACGTCGAGGCTAAAGCTCGTGTAGGTCGTGCCATAACTCGTGTCACTACATTTATAAAAGCTTCTGGTGAATATAATAACGATCGTGCAAACGTAGGGAAACATGCAAAGATCAAGCAGATGCTTGTTGAACTGAAAGATATTCGTCGCTGTGTTAACGAGGATATTCAAATCATGGAAACATCTGTAGGCCAAGGAACTGCGCCTACTGATGTTACAGATAATTCGAGCAGTGATTCCTTAATCAGCGCTTTCGAGACTCTGTTCTATGAACTTGCTGCGTTTGCTGACATTCATAAATTTTCATTGTCACCGGTGGCAGAAATGTCAAATTCATTTGCTTCCAGTACATCCCAACAGCCTGGACCTCTTGGAAATCTATCATGCTTTCAATTACCGAAACGTACTTTTCCAACATTTTCTGGTATCATAACGGAATTTCAAGGATTTGAGGATCTATTCAAATCAATTCTGTCCCATGCTGAAGAGATCTCGAATGTCGAAAAGTTTGAAATTCTAAAAATGTCTCTCCAAGGTGAAGCCTTATCATTGGTTACTCATTTACCGTTGACAGCTCTGAATTACGATAGTGCCTGGGAGATTCTCAAATCCAGATACGGCAACAAACGAGATTTAGCTCGCACTCACTTTCAATCGCTTCTGACGAATCATGCCGTAAAATCCAATGACGCTCTCTCCATAAAAACGTTGGTAACGTCCTTGTTAAACCATACCGCTGCGTTGGATAATTTGGGCTTTGTAACTAAAACGTGGAGTCCGTTGTTATTATACATTTTCGAACAGCACTTGGACTATGAGCTACGCTCTCGGTGGGAACTAACGGTGGGAGACAATCACGCTCCTACTCTCTCTGAGTTCGTTAATTTTCTGCGACAGCACCTGCGCTCTGCAGAAGTCTTTTCAACGACACGTCCGTCGTCAATGCCCCCGGGCAGTCTAAAACCCAAACAGGAACGGGGTCGCTCTGGTTCATTTCAAAAAATTCTTACCACTACGACAAGCCAGTCAGTAAATGTCGCTTGTCCGATGTGCAATGAGTCGCACTCGATCCGAAAGTGTCCACAATTCATAGAAAAACCACCGAATGAGCGTTTCCAGGTAGCGAAAAATTACAAGCTCTGTATCAATTGCCTTGGAACAGGGCACTCTTCCGCAACTTGTCCATCCAAGTATAAATGTCAGGTGTGTAAGAAGCTTCACCATTCGTTATTGCATTTTGGATCGTCGTCAGGATCAGACCCACAATCAACATCGGCTCGTGTCAACACTATTGAAACGTCAAATACTGAACCCTCAGCTTCTACGACGATGACTGTCAAGGGATTACCCAAAACAGTCGTACTCCTATCCACTGTCATGCTGGATGTTGTCGCTCCAAATGGACGGCAGAAAACTTTTCGTGCATTACTTGATAGCGGCTCCCAAGCTAGTTTTATTACAGAAAAAGCTGCTTCACTGTTAATGCTCCGTCAGGTCCACTCACCGGTCAACATAACGACCTTTGCAAGTTCAGCCTCGACTCTTGTTCGAGGGAGGACCACCGTTACAGTAATGCCTTGTAACAAAAAATCTCCGTCTCTCTGTGTGGACACATTAATAGTTCCCCACATAACTGGCCTGACACCCCAAACTCATTTAGCCCGCAGACCATGGACTCATGTTGACAATCTTACGTTAGCGGATCCGTCATACCATCTTCCAGGACAGATCGACTTACTGTTAGGAGCTGATATGTTCCCCTCGCTTATGTTAACTGGTCAACGAATGGGTCGGTTTGGTGAACCCATGGCAATGGAAACCATATTCGGTTGGGTGTTGGTAGGGCCAATACAATCTCCTGGGTCGGGGCCAATCAAGTCATTCTGTATTTCTGTCTTCGAAACTCTTGACATAACTATTAAAAAATTTTGGGAACTCGAAGAATTACAAGTCCAACATCGTGTTACTCCTGAGGAATCTATCGCAGAGAAGTTCTATCAAGACACCACAACGCGTCTTGATTCGGGACGATTTATGGTCAACCTTCCATTCAAGTCTGCCCGTCCTTTATTGGGAGATTCAAAAACCACAGCTCTTCAGAGATATAAATCGTTAGAGCTTCGACTCAGTCGTGATCAAGATCTTCGTCACCAATACGTTGAATTCATGCAAGATTATGTATCAAACAATCACATGGAACTCATTCCTTTGGACGAAAAGGATACACCATATAATTATTATATTCCACACCATTGTGTGCTCCGTCCAGAAAGTCTCACCACCAAGTTACGTGTAGTGTTCAACGCCTCAGCGACGACAACCACCGGAATGTCACTCAATGGTCATATGTACACCGGTCCAAAGTTACAACCTGACATTCAAGTGGTTCTGTTACGTGCACGGTTATGGAAACACCTGTTTATGGCAGATGTGAAACAAATGTACCGTCAAATTGTTGTGCATCCCTCAGATCGAAATTACTTGAGAATATTCTGGCGGTTCTCCCTTGACTCTCCTATAGAGGAATATCGCTTATGCACGGTCACATACGGTACATCTGCAGCCCCATACCAAGCTCTTAGGACAGTTCGTGAATTAGCCAACGTTGATGGACCTAAGTATCCACAAGCTGCTAAAGTATTGCTCCACGATACGTTCGTTGACGATATTATTACTGGTGCAAACACTGAAGACCTTGCACTTGAATGTCAACAACAATTAGTCAAATTGTGCGCACTAGCTAAATTCGACTTACGGAAATGGGCGAGTAACAACTCCAATGTACTTCAGGCAGTTCCGAAAGAGGCTCGGGCTATGTGTCCATCACTGTTATTCAACTCGTCAGGACATGAAGATCTAAACGTCCTGGGATTAAAATGGGATCCATCGGTGGACAGTTTCTCGTTTCATACACAACCATCATCCAAAAGTCCTACCAAACGATCCGTGTTGTCTGATCTCGCTAGAACGTTTGACCCTTTAGGATTGCTTGCACCTACTACGTTCTGGATCAAACATTTCATGCAATGCCTTTGGATTGCTGGGACCAACTGGGATGATCCCATACCTTCCGATCTGTCTTCCCAATGGGCAAGATATCATTCAGAACTTCATTTAGTGCAAAATCTTCACATTCCTCGACGAATAACTGCAGATGATGCACTATCTGTCCAGCTTCATGCATTTGCAGACAGCTCTCAAAAGGGATATGCTGCGGCTGTTTATCTCCGAGTTGAAAGTCATGCAGCCGTCCATTGTCATCTTGTTACTGCTAAAACTCGAGTCGCTCCGCTAAAACATGTAACCATCCCCCGACTGGAATTGTGTGGAGCTCTTCTCGCAGCCCAACTCATTCGTTCCACTGTCGTCACGTTCCAAGATCGCCTACACGTCGACAAACTGACTGCATGGACTGATTCGACTACAGCGCTTGCTTGGATTCGTTCGTCACCACATCGTTGGGCAACCTTTGTTGCAAACCGCACCAGTCAAATACAAGAATTGACGTCTCCTTCGATTTGGAGACACGTTCCCACCAAATGTAACCCAGTTGATTGTGCCTCTCGTGGTTTGTACCCATCTGAGCTCATAAACCACCCTCTTTGGTGGCATGGCCCACCATTTCTATTGGAGTCTCCTGATCAATGGCCATCGTCCACTGATCATTCGCTAGATCCCCTTAATGCCACTCCAGATGATGAGGTCCGAAAGTCTGCTGGAGTATGTCTGACAGTCGGCTCTTCCGTGGTCACATTGCTAGATCGGTATTCATCATTGGACAAAATTTCTCGAATTTATGCGTACTGTTTAAGATTCAAAACAGTGAAAAAATTGAAAATGCTGAAACAATTGGATCAGTTTCCCACAGTGTTCAGTGCGGAGGAAATTCATGACGCTCTTTCTGCACTTATTTTCAGTGTCCAACAATCAGTATACAGACCAGAGATTGATCTGTTAGCAAAAGGGTGGCCATGCTCAAAACCCGTTCGCAAATTGGACTTATTTCTGGCAAAGGATGGGCTCCTCAGAGTGGGTGGTCGCCTGCAAAATGCTGACCTTCCATACGAGCATAAACATCCTATTCTCATGCCATCGTCTCATCGATTGACAGATCTGGTCATTGATTATCACCATCACCGACTAAAACATCCTGGGACATCTGCGTTACAAACCTATTTACAACGGACGTATTGGATTCAATCAGCGCGACGTGTGATCCGATCACGGTTGCGCCTCTGCATCCCTTGTTTCCGTACGCGGCCACTATCCATTCAACCCAAAATGGCGGCACTTCCGAAATACCGAGTTCAACAAATCAAACCATTTGCAATTGCTGGGGTTGATTATGCTGGTCCGATTACCCTCAAGAGGGCCCGAGGACGGAACTCCAGTTCTTTGGTGGCATATATCTGTTTATTCGTATGCACTAATACCAAAGCCATTCATCTAGAACTAAGCTCAGACTTGTCCACGGAAACGTTCCTGTTAGCTTTAACACGCTTCACTGCACGCCGAGGTCCAGTGAAAGAAATCCACAGTGATAACGGTACGAATTTTGTTGGTGCTGCTCGGTTGTTAAACCCAGTCCAAACACTTACAACCTCTACGTCATTTCAAAATTGTGTGAGGACTCATCTTGCGACATCTAACATCCAATGGCATTTCAACCCACCATCGTCCCCTCACTTCGGTGGGTTATGGGAAGCTGGGGTGAAATCGACCAAATCATTAATTCTACGATCTATTGGTCTCCACAAGTTAACGGCGGAAGAGTTAACGACGCTTTTAACACAAATTGAAGCGACGCTTAACTCAAGGCCACTCTGTGCCTTAAGCAATGACCCGTCAGATCTCGAAGCACTCACCCCCAGTCACTTCTTGACACTTGAACCATCTACATCTCTTCCAGACCCACACTTGGAGAATGTTCCATTGTCAAAACTCAATCGATGGCGTCTCATAACAGATATACATCGTCATTTTTGGGCACGATGGAAGAACGAGTATCTCTCGACCCTTCAAGTTCGCTCGAAATGGTGCTCTGATGGAAAGAGTCTGCGTGTTGGTGATCTTGTACTCATTCGAGAGGCCACACATCCACTTCATTGGACAATAGGACGGGTCCGTCAACTGCATCCTGGGGCAGACGGAATCGCCCGTGTTGCCACTGTTGACACGGCCACCGGGCACCTTGTTCGCCCTGCCGTCAAATTGTGCCCATTCCCATCCTCTTGAAGATCCCTTCAACGTGGGCGGTGATGTTTGCGCGCCACACCGAAATTCCGTTATCGCGCCGCCGTCGACATACGGCGATAAACATCCTCGTGTAATCTCTTTGTTTTTTTTTTTTCCCATATCGTGTTCCACTATCGTTGTTATTATTTTATTCATTAACCTATATTACGACCACCTGTGGTCATATCATTATTATTATTGTTGTTGTCATCGCCATTGAGGCACGTACTTATATTCCGTTTTTTTCTGTTATATTTCGTTCTTTTCGCCATTACGGCAGTTGTTGGTAAAGTCAAGCTTTCCATTCCTGGTTGTTCGGCGCTACTGAGGCCCGAATTTCCGTTGTTGTTCAATGCGTTCTCGGTAAATAAATTACACCTAGACAAAATACTGTGTTACATCATTCCCGTTGTCCGTGCCTGTACCTACTCTTGAGCCGGAGCCTGTGCTGGTAAATTGCGTCGTTCGATCCGTGGATTCTTCTGTGTTGAGTAAGTCTCTGTTCCATATCAATTTGCTCGTACAACCGGAGCGTAAGTCCGCCAGCACCCGAAGGGAGGTGTGTGAGAGGCCGCCCAAGGTCGTCTAGAGTTGCCCTACGGCACCACTCGGGTCTTCCACACGTCGCGTAAGTCCGCCAGCACCCGCAGGCGGGTGTGTGAGAGGCCGCCCAAGGTCGTCGAGACGACAACATTGGCCTCAACTTCGTCTTCAGTAATTTTAAGTTAATTTTAAGAACCCCTCACAACTATGTAAATGCTCTGTGGTTATTGCACCATACCGGACCGGCCACAGAACATTCCCGTCCCCATAATTAACCTGTACCTACCTCCGTCCTAATGTTGAATCTCTCGTTCAGAGTCGTCGTATGTTAGGTTGCCTATGCGCGGAATTTCGGGGGGCAACAAACGATAAATAAATCTTCAGATGTTAGGTTGCCTATCCAACCAACTCTCAGGCGTTAGGTGATCGGAGGTGTTGGGTTGCCTATCCACCCGGAATTCAGGTGTTAAACAAAAAAAAACCATAAAATAAACCGTTTTCTTCTGTCGAGACATACTCGGCTGGTCCTTCGACATCAATCCATGAACAGATTGTATGTAATTTCTACTAGAAACCGGGATACCAATTGAATCACTTTCTAGTAAAAAGTTGTAAAAAATAAAAAATAAAAAGATAAATATAATTTTAAATCCACTATTATCTCTTCCATTACTCAGAATTAAAATAAATAAACAATATTTTGTCTTTTAACCTAAGTTGTAGACACTCCTACTACAGCTATAATAGGTAATTAATAATATGCGATACAATTTTGTAAATAATTTAGTGTTTTATTTTTCTATACATTTTTAGGTATAATATTATAATACATAACATTTAGATTTTTGATTAAAATTTATTTTTATTTCTCGCTCTTTGAGCTCTCACTGTCCCGTCAAAGATTGAGTGAGTTACGGCTATACTATAATATTTTATGAGAAAGAGTGATAGGTCATGACGACTCGTTATTTATTATTTACTGCGGATTGCGGGGTTAGGTGGGATTTTCGTCTTTTGAAAAATGAATTTTGACCGAGTTAACCCCCGCCGTTTCCCAGCAGTCGTCTTCTTGGCTTTCCATACAATATGTTATGATCGTGAGAGGAAAAACATGCACGAAAACAATAGGCCATCTTTAAGGGATATAAGTGGAATAATATTATTTTTACCGACCGAAATCGCACCTAGCTATAATATTCGGTATACGTATATAATATATATCATATTATATCGTGTCATCTGACGACAGTTGTAGCCATAATATATTTTTTTCGTGACACACGATCAAACAGCGTGGGGAGGTGGAAATAAGGGCTGCGGCCCCTCGACACTAAAGTGAATTATCCCTAACCGCGCCCGTGGCACATGTATGCGTACACCGTCAACGCGATACAACACTACGATATCTCACGTGTCTGCCAAAAGAGTATACCTACACAGATAGTTATATGTATTGCGGGTACATAATATACGCGTTCTTATATCTCAGGACAGGAGCAATAAATATCGGTCATGCATGTAGGATAACCGACGACGACTGCAGTATAATAATAAAGTATGCAGCGGAGACACGGCCGGGTGTGGAAATACAGTTGTTTTTTTTTATTTAATAATAATAATAGTATCTAATATCTATATGTATGCATAGAAGCGATGTGCTCGTACATAAATTGACAAAAATCTGCGCACTTAAGGTGCTGACTGCTGATTAAATGTCCCCAAACCCGAACCCATATCTTAATATTGTTAAATGCATAAGCCGTCATTCAGTCAAAAAACTGAACTACCGTAGACCAGATATTATTTTACCTGTTTTACTTAAAACCAAATGATACTTCTGACTGAATACCATAGCGAACTGCGGTGTCATCAAATGCGAGTAAAATACACTTTATACAAACAAATGTACAAACTTTGGAACTTGGAACCACAATAACAATATATTATATTAAAATCAATTAAAACGACACAGTTTTGACATTCTGGCATTTCGCGGAGTAGGTATTAAACCGGCAAACCCCTATAAGAATTCCAAACTGATAGTAGTATAAAAGCAATATCATTATAGTGAATATCTCGTGGTGATAAACAGAATATAATTAATATGCAGTCGAAGATAATAAAGGCATTTTTGCGGTCTATTAAATTTTTTCGTGACGTACAATATCATATTGGTTTTAATAATAGATCGATAACCTATATTCTATGTATCTACTGATAATACTTTGGACCGGCTCATCATCTCAAAATCATGGTTTTGCGCGTGAGACTTTATAGGTGAAATGTCCTATTTCAGCTTCAAAATCTGTCGTCGTAAACTCGTATATTTGTTACACGGTGCGCCGATCAGTTCTGCAGCCGTGCAGTAGGTACCGTAATTTCAGAGAAAAAAAACCCTTAATCCCGGGCACACTTCACCAATTCTTCCACACCTGTACGCACGTACGGCTTTCGAAAAAAAAAAAAAAAAAACGATTATAGAACGCCGATAGAGCCGCCTCTGGACGGAGTTTCGGTTTGCCGACAACGCAACTGTAACACACACACGTCGACCCGCACCACGCTGTAGCAGCAGTGACCGGACACTGCGTCCATTAATAACTCGATGACAAATCTTCGACGCCGAGCCGAGCAAGAACAAAAGTGCCTCCTCGGCGTACCTATATATTATTATTATATAGGATCCGAACGCGAGCCGATTAGCCACGTTTCGTTAAATAATAATAATACCAGTTATATAGCCGGTATATACCATATAGCGGGTATACCGTTACACATCGCGTAATCCGCTCGAATTTTACCTATATGGAAAGCTAATTTCCTGGCAGCCTTTCGGTCGAATACCGTTCGACCAAGTAAAAGGGAAACTGTAGGGACCCACCCAAACGGGGATCCTATAATTTCATACACAATTTGCTGTGGCCATATTTTTTTTAATTAGATAACATTAATTTTTCATCATAAAAAAAATCATAGAACACACGAGCACTGTCCGAAGAATTTTCTCTTGATTGGATAATTTATCCAACCAACCGATTTTTTAATTATTTTCCAAATATTTATTAACAAACTAATTGATTTTATATAATATTTTACAAACATGTTTTTAATTTTTCCAACCTAATAGTATTAAGGAAATTTTATTTTCTAGATTTTGTGTTAGTATGTAAGTACTTACGTACTAACTTAATGTATAAACCAATTTTTAGTTTCAAGATTTTCCATTATACAGATTGGTTGGAGATATATACATATTAATATTTTGGCTTGATTGTTATAATAACTTTGATGTTAGAAATGTGAAATTTTTTCATACTATTTTCATTGGTTTTTTTATCAACTTATAAGTCTTACAAATAATACTTTGCTACGAAATAAATAGTTTGTTAATATTTGTCCCACTATAGCCCGTTCTTCGAAACAATATGATAATGCAATTTTGATTTGTGATTATATTGTAACAATACTGAATAATTTACGAAGAATTACGTTGTCAGCCTACAAGTGCAGTTTTAAACATTAAACATCATAATATTATTACGTTTTCTTTGGAAAAAGAAAGTGATATCATGTTAAAATTCATGATATTGAATTTTTAGTAAAGAGGAAAGACTCTAGAATCCATGACAATGCGCCTTCAGTGTCATAATTTATTCATTTTTGTGCTTGCGCATCGTTGTTTTCGAGTAGCTTACATGGTTTTACATTTTTAGATTTCACTAAAAATACTGTTGATTTTGACACTTATTTTTGTTATTTATTTAAAAAGTATACATAGGCGTTTTTTTTATAATAACAACATTTTACCTTAAATACAAATATGTTAAAACATAAATAAATAAAATTTGTAATGATATTAGTTCTATAATATTACCTACAGCGCTACAACCATAGCACTAGATCTACAGTAAATTAAAATTATATTTGTATATGATTTTTCTATGTTATGTACGATTGTAAGATTAATAATTTCAACGGATATTAATCGAATTTAGGAATATTTAACTTGTATAAGGTATACATACAATATAATACAATTTTATTGTATTTAATCTATGTAAATATCTATTTCAGCAAAAACTAAAAGTACCTAAAATAATAACTTGAATGTATATAGTGTCTAGTGTATGATAGAAAAACGTCCAATATAATATATATAATTATATAATAATATACTATCCATACATCACTTTTTTTAGTTGAACAAAAAAAATGCATTGTTTTTTCAAAGAATATATTTGTTATTATGCAGAGTTGCAGAGAGGGAAAAAAGAAAGAAATTATATTATTTTTTTTCATCTAAACCGAAAAATGTATATTTTTTTTAGCGAAGCGAGGTTTATAATGATATTAAAATAATTCGGGCCCTTTATTTTACTTACTCATCCGTTCACTACGTTCATCGTAATGCAATGACGTAAAAATATAACTGTACATAGTGGATGAAATTGTCGTAACTGCAGTTTATTCAGGACTAATGAATGTCATACTGCCACAAACTTGTCTACTCGTTCGTAATTTAATCGATTCATGTGAACATGATATAATAATATAATTTCAGCAGTTAAGGTTTTAAA